GCGGCTGGGCCTATTAAACGTGGGCTTAATAACCGGCGACTACTGTAGCGCTAATGCCTCATGCATGAATCTCCCACCTAGATGCTGCATTGACGACAACTGACGCCGTGGAGGAAACCGTCGCTGTCTGTTCCGGCTCGGTACTGCCGGTTGGAAACTGTGGCCTTGTTGGCTATGCCAACGGTAACTGCTACATCCTGAGTTCCGAAGTCAGACGGCCGGTCCGCTTTGGCGGTCCTGAGACAGGCTCTGTGCAGGTCATGGACTGCGGCTTTGTCAAAACCCAAGGTTGGGACTCGTCTGCTGCTGGTGGTGCTCTGGTCATCTACGGAACACCCGGTGGCGCTGTAGTTGTGAGTCCCTTTTTAAAATGTTTACTTATTGAACAAACATCATCATTAGCAGACTGTGTGGTGCAGTGGCATCTGAAACCATCAGTTAAGGGCTTGTGACTTGTTTCCATCTTTCTTATCCTCAGTTGGTTCATCGGGTGATAATTAAAGTACCTTTCTGACTAATTTATTCTGAAAATCCGTTTACTGACATAGCAGATAACCCTACAAAAGGCAGTTCTGGTTATCTAAGTCACAGCCAGGAATATTCAGCAAACACTATTTTAATACTTATTTTACGACGAGGTAACACCTTTTTTTCAAACAAACATCCGCAAGTTAATAGGATTTTCTAACTACCCTGTCCCAGGATGATCGAAATACAACAGCGGATATCAACGCATTGACTATTAAAAGTTACTGAAAGCATGCAGCAGGTTAGATGGGTAGGCGCGGGAAGACAATGACGCGGTGAAGAAGCAATCATTTTACGCCGACAAACACACGAGCATGTGGTCAGTTAACTTTCGGCCACGACAACAGGATCTTACTATTATTCCGTGTGCATGGAAGGACTTTTCTTAAGCTTCTTTCCATTGTTGCTATAGGGGCTAAGTTTTTGTGGCGTGGCCACGTCATTATTTTTTAAACCTGGAGGTTAGAAATAGCCATGAAAAAGCGTCTCGACGTCTTCAGTCTAAAGCCTCAATATCGATCATGGATACCGGGGAGAGCTCACATTGTACCTAAAGGCACGGCGATTGCCAGGACTCGAATGCCGTAAGATTGCAGCTGTCAGGACCCATTCATGTTGTTCATACTCATTCAGGGTAGAATGCTCGGTAGGATTATGTCGTGGGGCCGTCTGGGGAAAGTGTGAAGCGCGCCCCG